ATCCCTAGCCAGATTTAGCATTCCATTAATAATCATTTTGTATTGTGGTAAAATGACATTTTTTTAAAAAATGGCCATGGGCCAGAGTGATGGCCCAGTAGATAAAGGTGCTTACTGACAGGCCTAGAAACTTGAATTCAATTCCTAGAACCCACAGGTGGAAGATGAGAACCAACTCTTCATCTGTACTCTGACTTCTACACGTGTGTGGTCACACACACACACACACACACACACACACACACACACACACACGCTCCCCATGTAAATGAATCCATGTAAATGAGTAAATAAATAATTTAAAGTTTTGTTTTGTTTTGTTTTGTCTTGTTTTGTTTTTTATGCTAGGCAGTGGTGCCGCACACCTTTAGTCCCAGCACTCAAGAGGCAGAGGCAAGCGGATCTCTGTGAGTTTGAGGACAGCCTGGTCTACAGAGCAAGTTCCAGAACAGTCAGAGCTACACAGAGAAACCCTGTCTTGAAAATCAAAACAAAACTAACAGAAGCTTCTTGGTGTAGCAGACTGAGATCATCACAAAAAACCATAGTTAGCCCAAATGCAGGGACTAACTGGCTGTGAAGCAGCCAGCTCCGGCTGATACCACACAACTTCTACCCCTGCTCAGGGAACTTCACAGAGAGGGGCAGGAAAGATTGTAAGCGCCAAAGGACCAGGGAGTCTGTAGCTAGATTGTATGTTCTATATATGTCAGGGAAGCTGCATGCATGAAACTTCAACAATACAGCTGCTTACACAGACCTGAGCAACAGCAACACCAGTTGACATGCCAATATGGATGAGGGAAATTTCATGAGACCTCACTCCCTGATGAAGCAATTAATTACTGCCGAGAGAGAGAATTAATCTTCCCTGGGAATGAGCCCCCTAATTGGCTATCAAATACCAAGTGGGTATTTGATACCCACTAAAAACATACATATAAGCAACATGAAACAGACTCAGCAGTTTGTATTTATATATTTATTCTTGTGTGTGTGTGTGTGTGTGTGTGTGTGTGTGTGTGTGTGGTGTGTAACAATAATAATTAAAGAAAAAGAAGCCACAAATGTGAAAGGGCATGGGAATGGTTGGAGGGAGGAGGGCTAAATGATATAATATTTCAATTAGAAATTTTTAAAAATATCAACTATCCATCCCCCCAGTTTGGGCACCCAACATTCTACTTTGGTTTCTATGAGTCCATCAACTCTAGAGGTCCATAACCACCCGCCCTCTTCCTCCCTCTCAATCTCTGTAAGAGAAGGTCTCACTATATAGCACAGACTGGCCTCAAACTGCAAATCCTTCTATCCCAACATCTTAGTTACTTTTTGATGCTATGCTAATACACCATGACCAAGGCAACTTATAGAAGAGTCTCTTGGGGCTTACAGTTTCAGACAGTTAGAGACCATGACTGTCTTGGGAGTAGACAAGCAGTCATGGTACTGGAGGAAGAGCTGAGAGCTTGCATCCCAAGGCACAACCATGAGACAGAAAGAGCTAACTGGGAATCTCCTCTGTGAAGGCTATTCTTAGTTGTCTATATCTGGAATGAACTACAACCTGGAAATGGAGGGTCCACCTGTAACCCAGATCTTGAGGCAAGAAGACAACATGCCTTTTGATCCAGATCTTGAGGCTCGAAGACACAGGTTTTTGATTTGGATCTTAAGGCAGGAAGGTATACCTTTAATCTGGGCCACACCTTCTTCTGGAAGCCTATTTAAAGACAGGGGAGAAGGAGGGTTTCCTTCTTTGCCTACTTGCCCTCACCTTGCCAGCACATCCATTCCTTCACTGGCATTGGAGCCTACTTCAGGATTCCATTGTATACAGAAGACCAGCTGAGACACCTAGCCTCATGGGACTGAGCAACTACTAGATTCTTGGACTTTCTATTCATAGCCAGCCATTGTTGGATTAGTTGGACTGCGACCTGTAAGTCATTCCAATAAATTCCGTGTGTGTGTGTGTGTGTGTGTGTGTGTGTGTGTGTGTGTGTGTGTGTGTGTGTATGGAGAGAGAGA